TGCATGCGTCCAGGAAGCCCAGTTGGACATTTTCACTGACTTATCAATTGCAGCGTTTCGTGGCCCCATAGGGAGCTCCACCGAAGCCTCCAGTGGGACCGCCCGCGTGCGTCCCGGAAACCCACCTTGGTATTTTCGCTCACGCAGCACAACGTTTCGTGGCCCCATAGGTAGCTCCACCGAAGCCCCCAGTGGGACCGCCCGCATGCGTCTCGGAAGCTCAACTTGGCATTTTCGCCCACCCAGTACAGCGTTTTGAGGCCCCACGGGGAGCTCCACCGACGGCCCCAGTTGGGCCGCCCGCATGGGTTCCCCCCCACCCAGTGCAGCGCTTCTGTGCAGTCACAATCGCGGTGCCCGCAACTGCATATGGTTGGGTCCTTCGCCAGGATAATGTTAAAACAGAGGTATATTCTGTGCACCCGATGTGGTGCAATATTGGTTGTGTTTTTTATGTGGTGGAACATATGCGCATCATTTTTATGTGCAAGCTGTGGCGCAATCTGAATGGTGCAAATAAAGTGGTGCAATCCATGTTGTGCAATTCGCCCTGCCGAATTTGAAATTGTCGACTCCACTGCTCTCGCAACCGTCCCGCCCGCCAGCGCGCAGCTTGGATTGCAGAACCCATGCAGCGGCGTTGCGACGAGTGCATGGCGTTGGCTGGTGCATCTCTGCTGCCGCGCTAGCCCGCGCATGCTCGCGCGCGCAGCGGCCAGCTAGTTTAGCGCGACCGACGCGGCCTCGGTGGCGCTGACCGCTGGGCATTTCCCGGCTGGCTCTTCAGTTTGAGTCGGCGATTTGGGCGGGCGTGGTATCATTGCGACGTCGACGACGGTAGACTCGATAATGGTAGTGGCGATGCTGGTGACGATGATGACAGCGACAACGGCAACGCCAGTGGCGGCGCCGATGTTGATGGCGTCGACGACGATGATGGCGCCCTCGCGTCGGCGATGACGGTTTTGGAAGGAGTTCGACATGCGCGCGCGACGCGCGAGAGCGGCCCGCGTTGTCGTATTCGATTTGGATCGCGCCCCCCCGTGTTTCTGAAACCTACGGTTCTTGAGGGATTTCGGCATGCGCGCGCGACGACGCGCGCGTGTGCAGGTCGTCCCGTTTCGCGCGCGGGGTTCTTGGCGCTGTGTTTACTTTTGATCAGCGAATGCGCGCGCGTGGTTTTCTCTGCAGAGGATGGTGGGGGGGGTGCAGTGCAGACGTGATCGGGGGGGGAGTTCGCGCTCGTGCTTAGCATCGGCGATGGGGCAGAACCACGCGTAAATAGCAGCGCGACGAGGGGCGCGGTTGAGTCCGGGGGGGGGGGGGGGTCCGAATATTGTTCAAGAGAACAGAACCTATGTTCTGCCGAGGAATCCGGCCGCGCGCGCGCGCGACTGATGCCCCCGCCCATCGGCTTTGAAGTGGGATGTAAGAGCAGGGTGTCCCCGATGTCGCGGCGCTGCGCAACCCCTACGTGCAGGCCAGAGGCGCGCTGAGAATTTGAGGAACGACGTCGAGTTTTGCGGATTCTACTGCGTCAGTGATGGTAGTTCCGAGGTTGAGGCCTTAGCTTTGGGGCGCGATCGCGCCGGCGTCGCGCGCGCGGGGGCGGGGCGAGCGACGCGCCGGGCCAGTCCAGCGCCAGCTCCACTTGAAGTTGGCCCGCTTGTCAAGCGGATTGGCCGTCGCGGTGGCGCGCGCTCCCCGAACAGGGTGGATCATTGGCCGCGCGTCGCGCCTTCTTCAAGCGGTGTCTTGCCGGGCGCATTTTGGAAGGGCGGCTGTTCAGGCGCAGCGCCGCTCGCGGACGTCGCATTCGTCGCGTGGAACGCCCGGGAGAAGCCGGCATCGAGAGCGCGCTTCAGGCTGCAATTTATCGGGGGTCGTTGTGGATCAAAGGTCGCGCCCGCTTTGCAGGGTGTTCCGCGGTGGAGGCTCTTATCGCAGAGTGTGCTGACTGTTTGCGTGGCTTCTGGCTGCGGCGTTGCGATTGTCATCTGTCGCCATTGGCTTCCGCGAGTTGCGTGGGAACAGCGTGCCAGCTATTGGTCCATAGTGGCGTCGATCATTGCATTTTAAGTCAGCTCTTGTCTTGCGCTGGGGAACCGCAAATCTGGCTGATGCGGGCGTTATTCATGAGCTGGCGGTGAGTATCGCTACCACCTGGCGGAAGGTCCGGCAATCTGGTGGGCGGCCGTTTACTTGCTTGGGCAGCGGTGCCCATGTCAGTCTGCCACCCAATGTCGCAGGAACGACGGGGTCGCATGTGTCCTGGCCTCTCAGGTCTCGCAGGGAGTGCAGCGCGCCTTTTGCAAGCTCTCGCAGCGCCTCGGACTCAGGGCCCATGGCGCGCGTGGCAGCGGATTTCCTGGGGCGGCCAGGTCCGCCAAGGTAGGCCGGGGGCGTTCCGCGCGGCATAACTCGCATTTTTCAATGTACATCATTATTTTGGATTGTTGGCGGTGGGTCTGATGCCGACGTTGATGCAGTTCCTAATGTG